GTAACCGAGGCCTGAAAGACCCTGGAGCAGAGGGCATTATCAGCCTGCCGGGAGAGCACAGATTTATCAGTCGGAGGGGTGGCGCCCCTCAAAACCTCCCTCGGGTTCAAGGTCCCGTGCATGATGGCAGTCCCTTTGGTGATGGAGAACTGCACATTATCCTAGGGCCATGTCATCCCAGCGACACCATTATCCTTGGGCGACGAGTGCTCATCAACGACGACGACGAGGGCGTCTTTCTTCTCGGCGCCCCCCTTTTTCTGCTTCTTCTCTTCCGGGGGCACCACGCCATTCCTAGCTCGTTTTCTCTTGAGCTTCCCAATGGGAGAGCCTCCTACGTCAGAGCCGGCGTCTTCGCCGCCAGCAGCCTTCACCACGGGCCCTGCCTCCTTGGCCCCGTCGGCAGTTCCCACCTTCGGGAAGATATCATCCACCGCCCTCTGCTGCGCCGGGGCGTCCTTCTTTTTGTTCTCCTTCGCCAGTTGCTTCTTCAACTTGGAGAGGTTCCTAGCGTCCATATCTGGTCCTGAAAAACAAGGAAGGCACACAAGTGTTAGAATACTACTACAACAAAGCAAAGGAAGAAAAAAAATTGCTAAGTATAAAAACTAAAGCCCTCGACAATGCTACCACCTTCGACGCTCTCGTATACATGATCAATCTCGGGATAATTTTCGGCCATCTCCCCCATGAGCTGATACCGGCGGAAGCCGAGCTTGTACAGCTCGTCCGGAAGGGTGGCATCCTTAATCTTGACATGCTTTTCAGATCCCTCTGACTTCTCGGCAAGCTTCCGCCCCTCCTTCTCAAGGGCTGCACTCCCTACCTTTGGGTGCCTCCGGAAGCTATCTCGAAGGGGTCCAGGGAATGGGTTGTCCGCCATCCGGATGTAGCAGAATTTATCCTTCCATCCCTTGTGGGACGAAGGCACTTCGTCAAAAAGTCTAAACTTCGGAAGCTGTTGCAAGTTACCAAAGCCTTCGGCATTCGAATGCCCACCCACCCACCCACCCCCTCAGCAGAGGTTGAAGGAGAGAAAAAATTGGTCCAAAGTTGGTGGGACGCCTTGGCTCCGGCACAGTGAGAGGAAGCCCGCGTGGTAGGACTGACTGTTGGGCGTCAACTGGCATGGGGCCAACTTCACAAACCGCAGGTACTCCAAGACGAAGGGGTGCAACGGGAACCGAAGCCCCAACTCCACTGAAAGTATAAGGACGGCAAAGCATCCCTCGGGCGCACTCGACAACACGTTATCCGGCCTCGATGCCACTACCTGCGCCGAAGGACCCACGAGAAATTGCGTGGCTTGGTACTCCGCCGCCACCGCCCTCGTCTTCATATCTAGAGCTGCGGTGTTGAGATAAGAGTACCCTTAGAGGATCTCGACGGGTCGACCCGCGTTGACGGCAGCCTGCTTCTTCTTCGGTGCCGCCCTCATCATCTTCTTCTTACCCGGTGCCACACTGATAGGCGTCGGGTCCAGGTGCGTTGAGCTCCTGGCTTCAGCATCGTTACGAGGGGGTGGGACAGCGATGGTGACCTTCATCATCTCCTACTGCGCCTCATCCTCAGCCACTTGAAAGGCGAGGGCTAACTCCTCGTCCTCGCATTCTTGTTCAAAATCTTCAGCCTCCATTTCAAGCTGAAGGCTTTTCTGCACCTCCTCAGCTACCGCTAGGTCATTGTTGACCGAGGAGTGTTCGCTTGAGGACTCCACCTCTGATACGTTCTCGGCGACTACCGATGCCTCCCTCGAGATGTCTTGGAAATCACTTGCCGACGACATTTTTCAAAATATTAAGGCGAAGGGTACTGAAACAGAAAGCTACCCAGGGAGCTCTAACACTCAATCTAAGGACACAAAGCAAAGTATACTAAGGCGAAAGGGAATGGGGCAGGAATTGACCTTGGAAGCTGGGGATTTGATAGAGGGCAAGTTTCTCTCTCTAGAAAAATTTTACCAGAGCTTCGCTACAACAAGAATGCGTAAGGGTAAATGGCTCTGGCCTTGGGGTATTATAGCCTCCACAATCCGGGCTTGGGCCTGGAATTGGGCTCTCGACGACAAAAATCATCACTGCACACCGCCTCTTCCGCCAACCGGTGACACCCGCCCACGGACAGCCAACAAGCAAGCGCCACGTGGAAACCCTCTCCAACGGTCATATTCCAACGACTATATTCTGAAAACCCGGATGTGCCCCCCGATAAAACACCCCTCAGACAACACCGTATGTACCTTCGAGCTTTCTCCTTCAGACTCCTTCCTCAAAAGGAGCCCCCGGTTAAACCACGGAAGAACCCTTCACGACCCCTTGGCCCTCAATATTGTAAAAACCAGGGAGCCCCCCCCCCCCCCCCCCCCCCCGGGGGGGCCACACTTTCAAACCCCCTCATTTGTGGTTAGCTTCCGGCTGAAACACCGGAGAACCCCCCGACCCACAGGGACAATCACCAGCATTCATCAACAGCGATCACGTCCTCAACCTTATTAACTGGGGGACTACCCTCGGTAGTCCCCGGGAAGCTCAGTCACGCTCATCAACTACAGACACCTTCGAGGAGTGCTCCCAGCAGTCGTTGCCCTCGGCATCACTAGGACACCAACGAAGGGCCTTCGGCAAAAGCAATGATCAAACCCTCAGATCACGAAGAGCTCTCGGCGGCAACATTGCCCTACATCTCAAACCAAGGGCTCACCTTTTTTATTCATCGTTGGGGGAATTCAGCGCACTCTTTTTCCCTCATTAGGATTTTTACCCAAAGGGTTATTCCTAATGAGGTTTTTAACGAGACATCCCCCCAAAATGAAACGAAAAGCACAAGCCTTCGGCCCCATGATGAAAATAAGCATCCCTCTAGTCCTATTCACCACATTACATGTGCCTTAAGGAGTGGGAGACTGGAGGACCCCTTTGGGAAATTCACAAAAATACAAAATTTTCCTTCGGTCCCAAAATGTGGGGGACTGAGGAACTGCCCTTGTCAAACACGCGAGCGCAAAACTCCTCACCCCTTTTACAAACTACAGCAAGGCAGCATCAGAGGACAAACGCAATTACTCATTTTCCCTCAAGTACCTTTCGGCAAAAGGAGTGAGGGACTCCTGATGGAGTATATGGCCCAGGAACCCCCCGGCCCACAATGCCGAAGGCCACCAGTGAAGCTCTAGGCAGCCCACGAGGCATGGGGGGTGCCTTCGGCCCCATTGCCGAAGGCCACCAGTGACAGAATAGGACTCAGAAACATCACAGGAGTACAAAGCTTAAAAATCAAGCTTTCGGCATTGGAGCCCTCGGCAATATGAGGCCCCCGGTACGCAGAGCCTTCGGACTGTCACCTACAGCCGAAGGCATCCTCCTCGACAGGATCTCCCATCCATATGCACTGGATCAACGTACCAAGTACAAACGTCACATCCAACCACCGCATTTAATTCGGCCACATGCGAATGACAATGCCATCTCGGTTGAGGTGATCCCTCGACCACCAGATTGTTGACACGTGTACCTAGCTAGCATTTATTGCAGCTAAAAATAGCACACATTTCCCCATTTGTAAACCACGCTCAATACAACTCGAATACACACTTGAACTCTTTATCTCTCTTACTTGTTTGCTCTGACTTCTCTCTAAGTTACTCCCCGCGGTAACCCCTCGGATAAGCTACCCCCGGGTACACTATCTATCATGTATGTTATTCGCGTTAACTTCCTATAGTTAAAAAAATACATTAAAATTCCGTGCATGTTAATTGATGCGTCGTGCATATATTACTGTAGAAGAAAGTAAGTTTTGCATAAAACAGAATACTCTAATATTTTATAAAATTTAGACATCTAGATAAATTTATGTGCATGTTTGAGCATAATGCTAGGAAATGAGTTTTATGTGCACATTTGATATTTATCATTTAACATAGGACGAAGATGGTGATACTTTATTTAATTGATTGATGATTCTCGGGTTTATTACATTGCGTGGAAAATCTCAATATGTAGGTTATGCGCATTAACCTCTTATAATAAAAACATACGGAGTATTAAACTACTACCTCCGTCCCGGTCATTTCTTCCGGTTTTGACCGGTATCGCAAATTTAGGTAGTAGGAATAAAGTGAAAATGTATGGTTGTAGTTGTGTAAGAAAAAGGTGAATGAATGTGAACCACATATTTTTCCCAAAAGTGGAAGTTGGAAGAATTAATTGGGACGGCCTAAAAAGTAAAGTTGGAATAAATGACCGGGACGAAGGGAGTATCATATATTATGACATGTTGTGTATATTATATTCTAGAAAAACAAATATTTGTTGCATTAAGCAGAAGTCTTTATTATTCTTAAAATGTTTACATATCTAGAGAAATTTATGTGCATATTCGGTCATAACATTAAGAAGTTAGTTTTCTAAGTTTTAAATTTGTCATTCTAATCTATAATATGATGTGCGTGATCATTTATAACGTAGGACGTGTTGGCGGGTTATTTAAATCAAAATATAATTAATGTATGAGAAAAGGGGCAAATAAGTCTTCGAACTAACCGAAAAAGTGCAAATTACCCATTTTATTAGAGGCTCTGTCTGGCCGTCTCCATTTGGGGAGGTTACCGGTGGAATGTATTGATGATTTTTTTTGACCATCTTGATCATTAAGTCTAGTTTACTCATACCAAATTTAAACTAAAAATGCAATCGGGAAGGGAGTCAAATAAATGTTTAAAGATAACTGCGCAGTTAAATAGCACAGTATATTTCAGAAAATCATTTGACTGTCTTCCCGATTGAATTTTTAGCTAAAATTTGGTATACATAAAGTAGACTTAATGAAGAAGATGCTCAAAACAATTCATCAAAAAATGCCACCAGGAACCTCCCCATATGACAACGGCTGGACAAAGCCTCTTATAAAAGGGGTGATTTGCAATTTTTCAATTAGTTGATAGTTTATTTGCACCTTTTCCCTTTATGTATTAAGAGGGCTTTGACAAATTAAATCCTTACTCATACTTATCAATATTAAAAAAATTATGAATCATTTATAATTTTACAATAAAGGCAAGTGTGAAAAATACAAATACCACTATATGTGGGGCTGTGGGCACTAAACACTAGTTATTTCTCGGCAGGCGATGATTCCCGGAGTTTCCTGTCAAGGGATGCAATACCTTGGCCAGACAATTGTATATCTCAAGAGTCGAAGGTGTTGTGCATTCGGGAGGCTTAAGTTAGGTTAAGGCAAGTGATTGGGGTGAATGTGGGTGTCGAGTCAGATGCATTGCACGCCATTCGTATGAAATACCTTAATGAGGGTGGGAGAAACAACACGCAGATTGAATTTTAAACAATATTAAGTCATGACTAGACAAGCTTTTAATAAAAATGTCAGCTAACTGAAACTGAGTGGGATGTATCTGACAACAAGGTCACCATGAGCTACTCTTTCACGGACAAAGTAGTAGTCAATCTTGATATGCTTGCTCATGCCATGATGGATAGGATTAACAACTATGTATGATGCAGAAACATGATCACAATAAAGCTGAACAGGACGAGGTATGTAGAAACCCATATCAGCTAGAAGTGAGCGGATAAATAAGGTATCCTGAACTGTATATGCCACCGCACAGTATTCACCTTCACTGGATGATTTTGAGACTGTGGGCTGCTTCTTGGATCACCATGATATTAGATTATCCCCCCAAAAGATGGCATAACATGTAGTAGACCGACGACTATCTAGACAATGTGCCCAATTTGCATCTGAGTAAGCAATAATAAGAGAGGTATCACCACCCTTCTGTAGCCATAAACCCTAAGTGATGGTACCCTGCAAGTATCTGTAAATACGCTTGATAGCTAATAAGTGAGTGGTGCGGGGAGCATGCATAAATTGAGACGCCAAATGAACAGCATAGGTAATAGCATAGGTAATATCAGGTCTAGTAATAATCAAATACTGTATGGCACCTACCATACTGTGACATTCAGTACTATCATTGAGAAGCTCTTCATCAGTCAGGGATAATGTGGTACTGGGGAAGAGGCGAACGAACATGTTTGACAGTGTGAAGGTGAAAGCACCTCAATAGATCAAAAATATATTTTTGTTGTGATAAGAAAAGACACTTCATGAGAGTTTGAATACCTATGAAGTAATGGATGTCTCCCAAATCCTTCATGTCAAACACGTTGGAAAGCTTGGAGATAAAAGACGCAACAAGAGATGGCAAATTACCCGTAATAAGAATATCATCAAGACATAGAAAAATGTAGATTATATATGACACACGACGAAAGAAAAAGATAGATGACTCAGACTTACTTTGACCAAAACCATGACTCAAAAGAAAATCACTAAACATATGAAACCATGCACGAGGGGCTTGTTTGAGCTCATAGAGAGCTTTTGCATAAAGGACAAATATGATTAGGAAAAGAGGGATGAACAAAACCCGATGGCTGACGCATATAGACCTCTTCAGTCAAGTAACCCTGTAAAAATGCATTTTTAACATCTAACTGACGCACCCCCCAACCAAAAGAAGCAGCAACAAATAATAGAAGACGAACACTACTGGGTTTTACCAAAGGACAAAAAGTTTCTGACAAGTTTACCACAACCTGCTGTTTAAACCCTTGAGCTACCAAACAAGCTTTGTGACGCTCAACAGACCCGTCAGAATTGTATTTCGTTTTATAAATCCATTTACCGCCAATCACATTGTTAGTGTGATCACAAGGTACTAAATCTCACGTTTTATTAGCAATGAGAGCATTAAATTCATTAGCCATGACCGCCCGCCATTTTAAACTTTTATTAGCCTAAGAAAAACAAGTAGGACCGACCAGGGGGCACTCCACCGTATTGAGGGATAAAATAGTCTTAGGTTTGAAGATGCCGTCCTTGGCACGGGTGTGCATGGGATGAATATTTTGAGGGATAGTAGACAAACTGGCCCTAGGGGAGGACTGACCGGAGGGAGGGGAGGGTAATGACGAACTGGGAGAGGGTGGACTAACCTCATGGGAGGACTGCCAAGGAGGAGGGAACGACCGAAGACGGAGTAGAGTCAATAGGGGTGGCGGGAAACCTAGGGACAGTGACTGGAAACAGGTCCTGCGGAACAGATGGAGTCGGCGTCCACGTAAACGGTTCTGGCATGTTAAACGGGGCATATGAAGACAATGCTGGTAGACTGAACGAGGGCGTCATGGATGATACCGCTTGCATTGTGATGACAGGAGACTGCACCGATGTAAAGGTGACGAGAGGCTGCATCGATGTAAAAGAAACGGACGCCATGGTTGATACCATCGAAGAAGAAACACCCTCAGCAGAAATGGAAGCCTGCGGTTGCTGCGTGTTGGACAAAGAGGCTGCGGAAGAATAGTCGTTCGTCATAAAGGTAAACAGAATAGGGCTTGAAACATAAGCAACTCATACCATATCAAATAACACAAATGTGCAAAGTGTGGCTTACCCTAGCATGAAGCCGTATGGCATATATACGGCATATCATTAAGGACATTATTGTAATTAGAGTAATTACAATAATGACCTTGGTGATATGCGAATCACGTCCTTTTTGCAATATTTCACTTCGGCATGTTAAACAGTAAACGAACCATGTTGGTCAAAGTCTTTATATTGCCTAAGTGTGATTTTGAAATCCCCCTCTTATATTCTGAATCATCTTTATAATAGCTAATTGTTTTTCGTTAAAGAAAAGAGAATTAAGTTCATTCAGTTACTAAAACACAAAAAATCCAACTTATTCAACCGCACTGATATCAGAAACTTCGAAGAACTTTATAATTAGGTATGAGAAAGAGCCGATCATCATCAGTTAATAACCCCTACGTTGATAGAACATTTTTCTCAGAATTCTAGTCAATCTAATTCATCATCCTCTTCGCTACTATAATCAAACCCTTCATCACTAAAGTCAATGTGGCTTACATTAAAATCCTGGTCGGGTTTAGGATTGCTCCGAATATATTTCATCAGCTCCTCATCTTCCTTGTCACTTTTACCGCTAAGCTTCCTCTTTAATATGGCTTCAAATATTTCGGGAATCGCTTCTCCATCCCCGTCAACGAGCCGCTCAATCTTCTTCTTCAATGCTGCAGCAGCCAGAAATTATGTTCGTAGACCTTTTTCAGGAAATGTGTCAAGATAAGGAAATTTGTAAAAGTTAAAAATAATCCACAACTCCATTCTTTTTGAAGTTACAGAATCACTATCAAACAGATACAAATAATAAATCAAATCGAATGTATGATCAGGTCAATAGCAAGTAAAAAACAGAACCGGAAGGCCCGTGAGAAATTAACCTTCATTGCTGAGGTGGGGAGCTAGGGAAGACACGGTATCCAGTTGCTCCGAATTTGGCTGAGGAATTGGGGAATTAGGGTTGGGATTTTCGCTGCAGAAGTAACGATTGTCGATAAAAAAGGAAGGGCGAGTGGAGAGTTGCTGTGGGGGAAAGTAGATAGGGATTGGGTTATTACGGGAAAGGAGCTTAGCATCACGACGAATGCAGAGCCGTATGGTTCTGAAGATTGATGAGTGTTTCATTTCCGATCCGCTGCTTGATAAGGGTTTACCGGTTTAGGAATGAATGGAGGAGGGCCTCTCATTTTAAGAACATAATACTAGCCACTTGGTCAAACGCACTGCACCATTTACTTGAAGCCCAAATCTCACGTTTCAGTTTTCATTAGATTATACTTTTTCGAGTATATCCAGCCCAAATATGTTTTTTCTTCTGAAAATTTTCTCTTAACCATTTCTACCTAATGTATTTAGTCTGAAATTTTTCCTTAAATATTACTAATAAAAATGTTATGGATAAAAATGTGACCTAAAAACTATTAGTGACTATAATTATGTTCAAAATTTATATCACAATAACTTACTATGATATAAATTCTGAACACAACTGTACTCACTAATAGTTACTAAGTAATATTTTTTTCATCACATTTTAAAGAGATATATTTTTAGAATTTTTTCGTACGTTCTTATGCTCCAAGACCATTTTATTTTACCTTGAGTTTTTCTTTTTTATGGTAATTGCTAAAAAATATATATTAAATCATTTTGAACTTGAAGACAAACAATCAGATAAGAATTCATGATCCTATCATTAACTATCTTATCTTATCTTATAATATACAAAACGAGGTGGAATGTTGGCCAATATTCCCGCTCAAAAATGTCTCAATCGTGGGTTAATGGCCGGTCAACACTTGCACTGGAAAGTCTGGAAGTTAATACAGGGTGTGATGGTTGTTGAAATCTGTGCTAGGTATTCGAGTGGGATAAAGCGAGAAGCCCAATGAACAACTAATGTGTAGAAGTGTGCACTTCCATTCAATATTGGGATAAAGGTAGGCTAAATTGTGTCAGAGTGCAACCTGTCAATCTTCTTTCTCTTGAACAACCGGACCTATTCCCTCACGGTTTTTTTGGATTTCCAAAAAAAATTAAAAAATTAGCCACCTAACAGTTTGCTTCTGAGGGAGCTCCGGCATATCAAGAGAAATCCCGCGAGGTAGCTGCGAACATGCTGCCTACATCGATTCAATTCGGCCATTATCGCTGCCTTACCAAGAGGGTAACTCCAACTGACGTAATCAAAACCCGAACTCAGATGCCGTCCACCAACATAAAAGGTCTCCAATGGAAGCGTCTGACAGATCTAGGTCCAGAATGCGACGACGGAGGTTGTGACAGAGGCGACTGAGCGACACCCACCCACCCTCTGTCGAAGCGGCCTCACCACTGGAGACGACGGGGCCTCCAGTCCGATCCCAGCGATGGCGAACCCTGGACGACCAAATGGAGAAACCTCAGGGCAGCGGCGGGCCTGCGTCCAGCTGGTGTCTCAGGGTGGGTGGTGGTGGGCAGCTGACTGCAACTAGGCTGTGGAGACCGTTGGGTTGATTTCTCTTACGCTGGGAAACATCTGGCTGATAATTGGCTGGTAAGGGTGATTTCTTTTTACTCCAATACTCTATCAATTGAAAATGATTTAGATTTTAGAATTATTTTGATATAAAAAACAAGTGTGAAGGTAACATTTAATTTGTTTAAGATGGCAACATTTAAGATGGTAATAAACAATGCTAAACATGTATTTCATTTTTGTTAAAAAAGATTGAACTCCAATGAGCCTGATCAGAACATCTTACTATCTTGCTATATACAAAAGGAAGTGGAAAATCAGCCTATTTTCCCACCTAAAGATACGGGTCAAAAAGTGGGTCGGGCGTGGTAGCTGCCAGCTCATTCGTCTGTTCCGCTATATGCATTGGGCAATGTACTAAAGCATTGTTGTGTGTTGAAGCTTTTAACTGATGGTCAAACAAGTGAACTAATATAACCATATAGGGAGCACTCTGCATTACGCATAGATATAGGTTGACGATAGATGTGTTTGACTGTTAGTTGCCATATCTCTTTTTGGATTTCCACTATAGCTGATTTTAAATCTGTATCCAAGTTTTCTCGACAAATATTTGGCCGCCAATTGATTTCAAGTAGACTAGAGGCTTCTGGTGGAGGGCATCATTAAAGCCGGGCTGGGGGTTTTTCATTTTCATGGGTAGATCATCACCAACATCTCCTTTCATCATTCGGCGCCGGGGACTGGTACAGTGATGTGGCACACCGACGACAAGATCCAGATATGGAAAGCTTGCTCGCTCAAGGGCGATTGTGCTCCAGCGTTGGTGGAAATACAGTTTCGTCTACGCCAGCCAGACTTGAACTGCAGCAAGGGGTTATTCAAATGGTAAGAAGCGGCCCTTTTGGTTCCATGACCATCAGGAAGCTTCAACAACACCAGGAAACACTCAGAAAAGTTGAGCAAGTGAATCAGCAAGACTAAAAATATGTTCCAATCATATCCAGGCTCACCCAGCTTCAGGTATCCCAAATTTAGGTTTGAAATTTTAATTGTTAGATTTTTGGTTGCTATGTTGTCAAAGAAACCAATGCTAAACTCAGCAAAAATAGAAATGTTGTCGCAGGGAAGGTTGTAATGCTTTTATATAATGAGATGAAGACGCCCAAGAGAAGAGAACCCTATTTACGATGAGGAGGGAAACAGAAAAGGTACATTTTTTCTATTAAATATTACTTTGGTCAAGTTAACTTTGATTCTTATTTGAATTAATTTGATTTAATATACTCTGTATAATTTATCTTTTTTGCCTTATTCAGAGTGATCCTGTTAAAAATGTTGATTTGTCTATACCAAGCAAATAGCTTGATGAAACTGAGGCAGAAAAGGTAATATAGGCAGTCATAGTATGATGTTGTATTATTTATTCTTTGGTTCATTAATGGGGTTAAACCTAATACTTTTACACCAGATTAAATTATATGCCAGTGATGTAAAGACCCCAGTTGCAGCTTCACAGAAAAAAGTGGTTATAACTCTTGATGACAAAATTAAAGCAGGCTTAGAGTAGTGGAGTAGTTCTTTGGGTTGGTTGGATTCGATTTTGATTTTTACTCAAAAAATACAATTTTGATTTTTACTCAAAATAATAATCTGTAAATTTATTTCAAATAGATTTTGTTTGGTTGGATTCAATTAGTTAGGCAATCTGGAATGAGTACTCTTGGTAACCTATTTTATTAGTCAAAATGTTGAGTTAAAATCCATACTTTCTTGGATCAACATTATTTGGTTGAGTTCCCATCCATGGTTAATTAAGAATAGAAAATGGATTAATATTTTTTTGAATGAATTGACAAGCTATATAAGATGTTATTATATGGAGCTAAACTCATTTTCTATAGTATAACTACTCTCTAATTCTACATTTCTGCATATGTGATGTTTGATAAAATGCTTAGGTCAAATAATATTAGAAAAAAATACAAAACATGCCAGTTGAGTCACATATATTTTGAGAGAGATATTTTAATGATTATTTTACTTAGATTCATACTTAAATAATTTCCTACTTTTTCAGAAAACAGGCAACCCTAACCATTTCCCTGAAGATAAAGAGGTTGTAATTGACAAAAAAAAGTTTGTTCTAAGTTCAAGTTAAAAAGAGGCTGAAGGATACTCTTACAAAGGCACGGGTTCTTTTGGGGGTGCTGTCTATGTTCAGAGATCCATCCATTTTAACATTGTATGCGACCGACAAGGTTGAGACTAACGAATGGGAGGAAATAGAGATGGTACATTATCTCTTAAAATAGGACTTTGATCAAATTTACTTTGATTAATATTTATCATTTGATTTAATATAGAATTAATATTTTGTCTATTTCAGAGTGGGTGGCTCAACCGCAAACATAGCGAGTGTAATAGTTTAACTGTAGAAACTTAAACTTAAACTTATTGATGTGTAACCCACTGATTGTTTTTTTGCTAAACTTAAACTTATTGATGTGTAATAGTTTAACTGTAGAAACTCATCCTGATTGGTTTTTTGCTAAACTTAAACTTATTGATGTATAATAATTTTTCTGTAGGCTCTGGTATTTCTGTTTTATGGTTAGTTGATTTTGAAGGATTATTAATTATGGATGATCCAGACTGGGGAACTTTACAGGGATTTGAAGAAGAATCCAGGCATGGCCTATGTCGAAGTACTGGAGAGGGCCCGAAAACACGCCGCACTGGAGGAGGAGATCATGATGAGGGATAAAGTGTCACGCCCCAGACCATGTCTGTGTCACGCAGACAACCGTCGTACAACCCAATAAGAATAACCGCAGTCCATCCTTACCAAATTGCACAAGACGTCCGATAGATACATATGCCAAAACCGATTAGTAAACATACATAACAACATCAACATACAATTAAACACATAGCGGAATATAAGTGTTTAATAAGAACCCACACGAGGGTAAAACAAGAGCTCACAGGCTCCATTAATTTATAAGTCAAAAATAGTTCCACGAGCATTATTTAATTATTTAGAAATAGAACCAGAGAAAGCACGAACCACGTCTTTTCTCCATCGATTTGCCGGACAATGGGTGTAGGAAGTAAGCTCTAGCTTCAACCTGAAAGGGTGGTTCCCCCGAGGGATCAGTACTACAGAAAATTACTGGTGAGGGCAAACTGTATGTAATATAACTAACGTTTCTCACATGGGACCCTCAACATATGGTGATAGTATACGTATAGCCGTATAGGCATAACTCTTGGCTACCCCTTTTCAAAACATATCGTATACGTATATACATATGAGTAACATATCCGGCCCGTGGGCCCATTTGTCTTTCAAATCATTTAGGCGTAACAACCTCGTTAAATTCATCCTTCCCATGTCCTACCCTCGAGTGAAGTCACCCGCAAGCTAACTTACCCGATAACAAAGATAATTATTTCGGGGGCCCTTCGGGCTCCCATATCACAGACATGATTTAAATTAAATTCCTAGACCAAGGAAAATACCCTATCGGGAACTCATTCCCGATCACGCATGTTTAATCATCTAAAATCATTACTTGAGGTTCACCTACCTCGGGGACTATTCGTCCTTACAATCATAGTTTACATTCCCGGGGCTAACCCCGCCTTGAGGAGTACGCATACACCTTCATCCTATGTGTAATTTGCTGGAGGTTAACACACCTCAAGGACTACACGGGCCCTTGTTACCTATATGCAATTTAATGG